TGACCATCTGCCCAGAAATGCATCATTTGCTTATAAGCACCTCAGGAACTCGAATATCTAATGTTACCTTCAAAAAGCATATGAACTCACATACTTAATTATCTTTTAAAAAAGAATGTACTAGTGAAGGGGCCGAGTTATGCTAAATACAGGGGATGTGGAAACTGTCCAATCCTGGATGAGATGAGTCAGATTAGAATAGATGGATTAGAGTGTTCAACCAATCGGGATTGTCCTATATGAGTCTATGAGAGATGCACTATATTGTGAAAAGTATTGGGACACCCCTCCAAATCATTGAATTCAGGTGTTCCAATTACCTCCATGGTCACAGGTGTATAAAATAAAGCACCTAGGCATGCAGATTGCTTCTACAAACATTTGTGAAACAATGGGTTGCTCTCAGGAGCTTAGTGAATTCAAGCATGCTACGGTAATGGGTTGCCACCTGTGCAGTAAGTTCATCCATGAAATTTCCTTGCTACTAAATATTCGACGCATGACGATTGCAACGTCAGATCCCCGCCCTTCTCACCAAACTCGTGACCGAAGGACTAGCCAATCTAAAACTGCGATGTCACGTGCGTAACGATGCCATGCCCAGCTGCACCCTGCACAACGATTTTCAAGCTAATGGACCACAATCGGTGTACCAGCAGCCTGTGCGCAATTGGGTCAGGTTAATTACGCAATTAACCCTTCACACTGCCACCACCTCCTTGTTGTACAGAGAAAGAGGAAACTCGGCAATATCAGCAATAACACTAGGATGGTTGAAATAAACGTCTGTGTACCACTGTCACCACAGACCGGTTATACAGAGGGTTAAACACACATAGTAGCGCTCTTCAGCGACAGGAATTCGTAAGTTGCATTAAGGAGCTTTAGAAACAATTCAACACTTTCAGAAAGAAAGATGTCTTACTAAAAGGTCAAAAGCGTGCAATAAAAATACTTACAGAAAAAAAGATGTAACCAATATATATATAAATACAGAGAGCAATAACACAGCAAAGAGGTAACAGGAAGAAGTTTAAAGAGGTAGAGTACTTGCCAAAAGTCCTGGGTTAAGCAGATCAAGTTTCAGAGCAAAAGGGCACCATCTCCCAAGTTGGTTCTGATATTAAAAGGGAGAATTCTTCAACTTCCACTCTTAGGCCTGACAGCCTATTTTTGTAGTCCCCCAGCAGGGGGTGTCTCTGGAGCCAAGGACCAATGCCTTATTTGGGGAGGGGTGTCTAGGCGGAGACCCAAACTAGAACCAAAATCTTTCCTAGCTCATATTTTGGCTCATAACTTTTCCTAGGCACAAGTAACATTCCACAAGTGGTAGATTAATATGAGACGCATCTGAGGAATGGTTAGATATGAAATATGAAATACATACTTGAATGGTTCAAGAGATGTAATTTTCTGCTTTCCTATATATTCCAGCCAAGGAGTGTGACATATTAAATGATTTGTCTGGTCGTGAGTAATCTGAAGATATGCCTGGTTTTTATGCAAGTCTCTCATATTCCAAGATATAGGGGGGAAATGGATTTTAAACGTGGTAGCTAGTTTATGACTCCCCTGGAATGTCTTTGAGCTCAGGGGAAGGCTTGGGTTATCCTTTTACGAGGTGCCAGATTGCACAGTTTCTTAGACAGTGTGGCCCCAGCTCCCTTGGGGGTTTTATAGCTCAGAGCTCTCTGCTGTGCTTTGACCGCCAGTGACATTTCCCATCACTCAGACCACATGTCACTGTGTATGAGCAGAGAAGGAGGGGGATGAGGAAAGATATATTTGTACAAGATGGACGATCCTTTGCCAAGATGGAGGTTGGAGCAAAATGGTTGAACCACGTCTATCTCTGTGTGCACGATTGCTACACTACAGTCAACTGTTAGTGGTATTATAACAAAGTGGAAGCAACTGGGAACAACAGCAACTCAGCCATGAAGTGGTAGGTCACATAAAATAACAGTGGGGGGCAGGGGTGGACTGACAACTCATGGGGCCCCTGGGCAATAGGGGATCATGGGGCCCCTGTGTCCTTGCCCAAACTCAAAAAAGCCTATGAAAAAAGGTACCAGGGGCATCTCATGGGGCCCCCTACTGACCCCGGGCCCTCAGGCAGTGCCTGAGTTTCCAAATGGTCAGTCCGCCCCTTCTGGGGGGTCAGCGCATGCTGAAGAAGATAGTACACAGAAGTCGCCAATTGTCTGCAAAGTCAATAGCTATAGAATTCCAAACTTCATGTGTCCTTAAGATTAGCACAACAACAATGTTTAGAGAGCTTCATGGAATGGGTTTCCATGGCCAAACAGCTGCATCCAAGCCTTACATCACCAAGTGCAATGCAAAGCTTCAGATGTAGTGGTGTAAACTGAACTCTAGAGCAGTGGAGACATGTTCTCCGGAGTGACAAATCACGCTTCTCTGTCTGGCAATCCGATGGACATGTCTGGGTATGGCAGTTGCCAGGAGAATGGTACTTGCCTTGCATTTTACCAAGTGTAAAGTTTGGTGGAGGGGGGATTATGGTGTGGGGTTGTTTTTTAGGGATTGGGCTTGGCCCCTTTGGTTCCAGTAAAGGGAACTCTTAAAGCGTCAGCATACCAAAACATTTTGGACACATTTCATGCTCCCAACTTTGTGGCAACAGTTTGGGGATGACCCCTACCTGTCCCAACATGACTAAGCACCAGTACACAAAGCAAGGTCCATAAAGACATGGATGAGTGAGTTTGGGGTGGAGGAATTTGACTGCCCTGCACCTAGTCCTGACCTCAACCCAATAGAACACCTTTGGGATGAATTAGAGCGGAGACGGCAAGCCAGGCCTTCTCGTCTGACATCAATGCCTGACCTCACAAATGCACTTCTGGATGAATGAGCAAAAACATTCCCATAGACACACTCCTAAACCTTGTGGACAGCCTTCCAGAAGAGTTGAAGCTGTTATAGCTGCAAAGGGTGGGCCAACTCAATATTGCACCCTACGGACTAAGACTGGTATATCATTAAAGTTCATGGGCATGTAAAGGCAGGTGTCCCCAATACTTTTGGCAACATAGTATATATACACACACACAGTATCTATTTCCTTGAATTTTACTGGTGTTAGAGGAAACAGTGTTTCCCCAAAGATCGGTAACATTTTTGTATTCACAGGGATCAGGGACACATGCTGGCTGTTCTAATGATGCTGTATACCGATGCAGCCTGTCAGTGTCCCTGATCACTAGCAACATCAGTACAGTGTCACTATTCCAGTGCCCCTAGCCACAGTGTCCTGATTGCCTCCACACCAATACAGTGTTACCATACCAGTGCAACCAACTACAGTGCCACTGAGCACTACCACACCAGCCACAGTGTAACCAGAGCAGTTCAGCCAGCAACAGTGTTCCTGATCCATATGTAGCACAAGATCTCACACCAAATGAAAACAAATATCACTTTCCAGCAGCCCACTGAAAGTGTAAAATATAGTTATAGGAGGCTGTTCACATGCTACAGCTAGGATGCATTGCAATGTGGCCATGACCAATTTAACACCATATGCAGAGTTGACAGGCAGCACTACCTGTCAGACTCAGCTATTCAAGTCAATAGGGCAATGCCGCTTGTGTGCGTTTTTTTTTTTTTCAACTAGAAGGTTGCACCTTCTCTGGTGATTTGTCTCAAGAAGGGGAACACAGTAATGGCAGCCACTAGAATTAATGAACTAGCACCATTGATAGATAGTTCAAATGAGCTGATTCCACGGTTGCTTCTTTCTCCAAATGAAATATCTCAGACTGTCAAAAAGCATGACATCTCTGGTTCTAAACTGCAGCGCTTATCTTGACTGTTTCATAGACCTTGACAATCTAATCAATGACCTCAAGAATATGAGCGGTTTACCATGCAACCAGACTGTAGAAAATGTCTTACTTTATTAACCAGCACAGCATGCATTTAACATTTCATGCTTACAAGCAGTTCAAAGAATTTTGAAAAAATGCTTGTAAGCATGAAAAACATAAGGACTCTATGTGCAGTGAATCCATGATACTTCTAAAAACGTACCTGCTGACAAGATGAGAACCGGACCAACACCTATACATAATGAATGGTATGAGAGTTAAGATCCACCTGAAGCAGCTTATTGATGTTTATCTGAAAAACCAATGATTACTAGGCTTGCAGACTGGACCTGTGGCCTGAATCTGCTAGTTTGCAGGCTGTTGCTCTGTACATCATCCATACGTAAATTTCTGGAAAGAGTATTTAGTGCAGCTATCAACACTGCTTTTCTAAAGTACATCAGATTGTTGCCTGAAAATGTCAGATGCTTGATTTACTGCTACCCATCCCAGATGTCACAAAAACAACAAAAACAGAAAATGTAAAGGCCTACTAATTCTTTAAAGGTTCAGATAATCTGCAGTGACCTCAACAATATACAACCACAATCAAAAGAAAACCACTAAATAGTACACCACAGAAAAGCAAATTAATAGGTAATTACATTGTTCCGCATAAAGGAGTACACCCCTTTGAAAAGTAAGATTTTAATAAGTATCTCAATGAGCAAAAATACAATTTCCAAAATTTTGACAAAACAGTATTTTATAGAACATTTGTTTAACTCTTTTCATTAAAGTAAGGTTAATAATATAACTTAATAATATAACTTAAATTACAAAATCTTCAGTTTTACTCAAATTAATTGATGCAAAAATTAATACACCCCACAACAAAAACTACAACATCTAGTATTTTGTATGACCTTAATGATTTGTAAGGGCAGCACCAAGTCTTCTAGGCATGGACTGAACAAGTTGGTGACATATTGTAACATCTATCTTTTTCCATTCTTCAAGAACAAACTCTTTTAGAGCCTGCATGCTGAATGGAGAGTGATGCTCAACTTGTCTTGTCAGAATTCCCCATAGGTGTTCGATTGGGTTCAGATCATACTTGGCCACTGAATCACATTCATCCTGTTCTTCAGAAATGCAACAGTGGCCTTAGATGTGTGTTTTGGAGCATTGTAATGTTGTAAAACTGCATGATGACCAAGAGTGTGGAGTGATGGTAGCATCTTCTCTTTCAAAAATAGAGCAGAACATCTGCGAATTCATGATACCATCAATGAAATGCAGCTCCCCGGCACCAGCAGTACTCGTGCAGCCCCACAGAAAGACATTGCCACCACGTTTCACTGTAGGCACCATGCATTTTTCATTGTACTCCTCACCTTTGCAACGCCATACAGTTTTGAAGCCATCAGTTCCAAAAACATTTATCTTGGGCTCATTATTCCAGAATACAGAGTCCCAGCAGTCTTCCTTCTTTTTCTGTATGGCCCTGGCAAATTCTAGACAGGCTTTTTTGTGCATGGGCTTTAGCATCCTTCATGGATGACACATATTCATGCCATTCCTCTGCAGTGTACCCCATATTGTGTCATAGGAAACGATCACCTCAGTTTGGCCTTTTACTTCTTTAGCTAACTGCAGTGAACTTGCATGGTGATTTTATTCAACTCTTCATATCAGAAGACGCTCCTGTCGAAGTGTTAACTTCCGTGGATGGCCTGGATGTCTCTGTGGGATGGTTGCAGTTCCATATTTGTTAAATTTTTTATCACTTTTGCTACAGTATTATGACTGATAAAGCTTTGCTGACCTTCTTGTAGCCTTCACCTTTCTTATGTAAAGAAATTATTTTCTTAGGCTTTGTGACATTTCTCTTCCATGTAGTGCCATTGCTGACAACATGAAATGAGAAGGGGTTTTCTTTGTTAAGTAATACCCTTTTATAATCAACTGCTTGCTGGACACCTGTTTAATGAACAATTAGACTACCTGTAGTTGAATTCTTGTTAATTAGGATTTTGTTGTCTAAAATTTAGCTTTTGCTCCTAAGACTTTCATTCGGTGTATTCATTTTTGCAACATGTTCTTGAATGAATTTGTTAGGAAAAATACTTTTTTTTTCCCACAGAAAATTTTGATTCTGAAAGGAAAGCAAAGGTTTTCCGACAAATCTGTTGAGGTATACTCATTTATGATGAGCACTGTAAATACATAATAACATATATAATATCAGATATTCTATAAAAAAAAAGATTTAGGACAGTCATGTAATCTAATTGGATCCATTTAATATACAAAAAGTTCAGTAAAATTACCATGGTACATCAAAACCCATTAAAAACATATCCACCATTTTTCACAAGAGACCTTCATACATCACATGATATATTTACAGTGTCCACAATTCCTAAAGTCCAATCTTCAAGATTAGTATTAAGAATGTCAGTACTATCAACATATTCATAGAGTAAGGGAGTCCACATCAACAAATACAATACATTAAAAAATGTGCAAGCATCCAGTGGTCTACTGTCATCTTCGAAAATGTAATATATAGAATGTTAAAACAGCCCCATCCATCCCAGTCTTGAAATACTGTGGCTTAAGATGCATACTGGCTATTTCCACTGAAGCTGAGAAAATATTCCCATATGGAGTATACGTAATGCCAAAATGAAAATCTTCATTCAATTTATTTTTCAGATTTATGACAAGACAAGTAGATATTCATAAGGTTTTGGTGTAGCACAGAGACAGCAACAGCATATCTCATTGATGATGTTGGTTTCCTCAGATGAAAAGGCTATTTCTCCATCCAGAAACTCTTGTATGTTGAATATAATCTGTTCTCGCCCCGCAAAAAGACCCCACCAATGTCTTTGCAGTGCAATATATAATTAATATAATGGAAATCCATCTTTATGATAGAACGTTTGGAAGCATGGATATTGTCTATGTGTTATGCGATTTATGAAGGTCTCCTGTGTGAACGATAGCAGATATGGTTTGAATGGGTTTTGATGTTCCAAGGCAATTTTTTTTCTCTTTTTGTATAAGAAATGAGTGTAATTAGATTGCATGGCTGTCATAAAGATTTTGTTATATATAATTGCAGGTGCATCTTAATAAATTAGAATATCATCACAAAGTTAATTTATTTCAGTAATTCAATTCAAAAAGTGAAAGTGTTAATTTCATTAGACACAGAGTGATATATTTCAAGCATTTCTTTCTTTTAATTTTGATGATTATGGCTTATAGCTAACCCAAAATTCAGTATCTCAGAAAATTTGAATATTGTGAAAAAGTTCAATATTGTAGACTCATGGGGGTTGATTTACTAAAGCACCTTGTCTACAAATGATTGCAGATCCTTGCATGACCAACTGCTTTTAAGTGGAGAAGAGATTTACTAAAGCTCAGCACAGCCATCCAGAGCAGTGTGATTACAGTGAAGCACACTGACACCACCCCATAGTAAAACACTCTCAGCACACAGTTAACCCTTTGATCACCCCTCACATTAACTCCTTCCTGCCCAGTGCCATTAGTACAGTGTCAGTGCTTTTTTTTTTAGCACTGATCATTGTATTGGTGTCACTGGGAATGTCAGGGACACCAAGTCAGTACCCCCCAGAAATAAGCTCAATTTGTGGTAAAAAAGGATGTAAATTTAATTTGGGTGCAGCATTGCATGACCACACAATTGTCAGTTAAAGTAATGCAGCGCCGTAACACATAAAATGGCCTGGTATGAAAAGGGGGGTAAATCCTTAGGAGGGCAAGTGGTTAATCAGTTTCAGCTGCTTTGGTGTTAATGAAATTAACAACAGGTGCACTAGATAGGCAACAATGAGACAACCCCCAAAACAGGAATGGGTTTACAGGTGGAGGCCGCTGAAATGTTTTTCCCTGCTTATCTTTTCTGACTGTTTTTCACTAGTTTTGCATTTGGCTAGGATCAGTGTCACTACTGGAAGTATAAGGTGATACCTGGACCCTACAAAGGTTGCACAGGCAGGCAGTCCAACTCCTCCAGTATTGCAAATCAATACGTGCCATTGCCAGAAGGTAAATAAAATAAGTAGTTATGTGTAGGATGGTTCCACCATCATCGCAAATCTTGACATATGTTTTCACTTGTGAATGACAAGAAGCAGCCTTGTGAATTCCACACCAACACAAATTGCAGCTTCTTACCAAATGATAAGGCACAAAATTCTAGGTGGTCTTATAACACCATGTTGTCAGTAATTATCTATCCCCAGCCTTGGAACCATATGGCACATCACAGCAACAGGCTGTTCAATGGCACTCAAAAACTCAAAGGCACTTTAGCAGGGATCCACTGTTTGCAGCTCCACTCCTCCATGTACATTAACCCCCCTGGCAGTATTCCCAAGTGTAGCTCGGGGTTAAGTTTCAGTACCAGAAGCGGTAACCTTGAGCTACACTCGGGATTACACTGCAGCATTGCTCTGGAATTCCTCCAACACTTACCTTGTCCTGTGCTTCAGCGATATCCCCCTTGCAGCGTCCCCGGCCGATGCCGTCATTCGTCTTCCGGGTTTGGTTCCCTGCGAACATTGGGATGTACGGGGGACGGAACGGCGGGGAATTCAAAAATGCAAAAATGTGACATTCCCTCAATACACTAAAATCTTATAATATTACATTACTGTATCAAACCATTTCACATACATTTTGTCCCTAGTGCTTTGTTCTGTGACCTGCCTGCATTTTTACTGTTCTTTCTGCCTGGAAACTGAGAAATGTCCATGGCGTCCAAACAGCGTCCCTTTAGGTCAAAAGCAGTTTTAGAACAGCTAGAGAACAGCAATAGTAAATTAGAACCACTTGCAGAATTGAGTGATGATTCGTGGGGAAATCTGTCATCAGACATTGAAAACGATTCTGCGACTGAGTTCAGCAATGTGCGAACTTGGTGCTCTATTTCAAATTTCAGTGTTTTTAGTTTGATTACATTATTGAATTAAATTTATATTATTTTTTATGATTATTAAATTATAATTTCGGGTTTCACATTTTATCATACATGGATGTTTACTAGACTCTTGTTTGGACATATTTCAGTAAGTTATTCCTAATAATTACAGACCTACAATAAAAAAACAACCAATTTCCATGCAAAAAAATGAACCACTTTGAGCACAGAAAAATTTACATAATCAGACCGCTAGGGAGGTTAAGCCATATAAGGCATAGGCAAGCATTCCATATATTCCATAGTGCAGATTTTGTGTAATGAATATTATAACTCACATAAGTACAAAGATAAATTGCATGGCTTAATGTGCATGGCAGAGTGGAGGTGGAAACATTGGGGGGGGGGGCTAATATTATGATTCTTTGTATTGGGATACATATAGTCAACCCAACACACATATGAATTAGTAACACAGCGCCGCATTTGCATCCCATTATATATTGCTTGTTACACTGAGAATGCCCAAGGACTTAGGGCTGGTTCACACCACAGAGTTGCAACCTACGGGCATGTGACAGCACAGTGGCTTAGTGGTTAGCACTGCTATCTAGGAGATGGCATCTGCTCGCATTATAACAACCAGAGACTCATCCCCAATGACAGCAGAATGAAAACAGCATAGCCAGCATGTACCAAGAGAACAAGGGCCCTTCCATTTGTCATGGATTTGAAGGGAAACCCCATGGCCAAAAAAAAAAAAAATCTTTGGATTGTAGGAGGAAATCCACACAGGCAAAACATGCAACATGAGGTAGTGCCATGGTTGGGATTTGTACCAGCAACCCTAGTGCTGCTAGGCAGAAGTGTAAACCACTAGGCCACAATGCTGACCATACTGTAGAGTATACAGTAGTACCATTATTTAAGAATTAAGATATATAATTATAAGTAGATATAAGAAAATTTTCATCAGACATTAAAAATGATGTGTCATATAACAGAAATAGAACTGTAATTTATATATATTGTGGGAACTCGCTTCAACATGGTAGAGTTTTTAAACGCAAACAGCTACTCGCTTTCTTTTTCAGGGCCTTTTTAGCCCACTTTTATTTACAGAAAATGTCCCATAACATAATGCTTCCCACACAGGGGTTTCCACCATCCACAAAACAACGGTTCAGCCTCCTGGCTTATACTCAGCTTGCTGTCTGTCTCCTGCAGACTTCTTCCCAAAAATATGGCACTTGCACACCGCTGGCCTCTAGCACACAGCTAGTCTCTAGCAGCCCCTTGCTGCTTTTGGCTTCCACCTCTCCTAGGTGAAGCCCACCTGACTTCCAGGCAGTTACCTCCTGTCTTCCAAGTGGAGCCCTCCTGACTCCTATCTGCCGGGGTGGAGCCCTGCTGACTCCTAGCTGCCGGGGTGGAGCCCAGAACCCTGGTCCTGACTCTCTCTAAAGGCCTGCACACACCTGTGCAATCAGTCTCCTGGCCTATCCCAAAACCTGGTCCCAGGATTGGAGATTTCATCCCTCCCAGATCTCTTTGAAATCTCCAGGCTCCAGATC